GATTTTTTTTATCGTGATATTTAAAAATATCAGGTTTGTTTCTTAACCAGTGGCGTCACCAGGCTTAATTTAGGGGGGCTGGAGCAAACAAATGGACCAGCAGCTTGTTTTTATACAAAAAAACTTTATTTAAAACAAACAAATGGACCAGCAGCTTGTTTTTATACAAAAAACTTTATTTAAAACAAATGGCCGAACGATGAACAGATCACCAGGTCTTTACTGGGTCTGATGGATAAGAGGGTCTTAATCTGAAGGATTAGAAACTAGACCTTTCTAATTTTTGCTTTTTTTTTTCTGCTAATTTGAGCTGAAGTTTTGCTAATAGCATCTGTTGTGCTAATTTTAGCTGTAGAATCTGTCTCGATACTTTTAACTTCTGCTTTACCTGTTTTATTTTTAGCATGTGTTTAGCTAACTTTAGCTATGCGTTGCTAACTGTATCACATGTTTTATTTCTAGCTTATAGTTTGTTAATTTCAGCAGCTTGTAGCTACTGATTGACAGCTTTTATCCTCTAGCCGTTATCTTTTCCTTTTAGCATTTAGCTCGTGTTCTGCTCCCTCAAAGTTTCCTGGGTTTTGGGTGTAGCTGTCAGGTTTTTTTCGGCTGTGTGTCGGCGTGTTGGTGAGAGAACAGAGCTTCCTGCTCACAGAACATTAAAGAAGCRGCTGCAGCACTCAGATTAGAAAACTGCTTCGGCTGATGTAGCTYCTGTTTGTCCTGAGCAGCCGAGGCGTCCCGCAGGGAGAAGAACGAAGCCCAGCTCAGGTTCCTGCAGAAGTCCTGGATCTGCAGGCAGAGACTCTGAGGAGGATTTTCCTCCTAATCCTGAAATCTGTGAGGAATGTCCCGACGAAGCGGTTCTGAGGAGCTCCAGGCGGGTCTTTGGACCCGGACTTTGTTTGTCCTYCAGAGTTCTGCGTCTCCTTCAGCTCAGGTGTTTTCATTCTGTCTCGTCTCTTTCAGGTGGGCTCGTTGGACCCGTTCTTCCCGCTGCGTCTCGGGCTGGACGGCGTGCCGATGGAGGATGGCGTCTGAGTCGGGCCTCGCCGTTTCGTCCGGGTCGGGAGGRATGGCGGCTCTGTGGCGCTCGCTTCGGCTCTTCCTCCTGCTGCCCGTCTGCGTGTCTGCAGCCAGCCTGTCCACGGCCGAGCCTCCAGGTAGGTCCGAGCTTCAGGCTCCGCCCACTTTCTGCTGCTGCGTGTCTCTGGAAGCTATAACCTGTCAATCACAGAACAACAGCTTCATTTACCTGACTGAACTCTTGATGGTTAGCGTGGAACAGCTCAAGGCTGTTAGCGTAGCATTCAGCTGTTTTTGCTTCTTTATTTTGCTCACGTCACCTCTGTTTGTAAGAGATAACTCAACCTGCTGCAGGTAGGATACTGACCGCTCAGGACGCAGCTAACCAAAAGTTAGCTTCACTGACCAATAATCTGCTGAACAAGGATTTTAGCTCCGCTAACGCTAAACASCTAAACAGAAGGGAAAAATTAAAGGTAGCTAACGCTAACCTGTTGTTAGTTTTCTGTTGGTTGAATTTAAAAGTGGGCGGGATCATTTGTGGCAAATCAGCCAATCCAAACCAGAGGTATGGCTCTGTCTAACTTCTGATACTTCCAGTTYACTCCTTTCAGAATTAAAGCATTTCTTTTATAGAGTTTGTACTTTTCTAAAAACGGTTTGAAGTTAATCAAACACTAAATACTACGTATGTTTACCATATTTATAAGAAGAAAATTCTTGTTGATTAATTTTTATTTTTATATATTTGATGCTCTTAGTTAGAAGGTTAGCTGCTGAAGATGCTACATGCTAACACACAGAGCCTGACACGTGCAGCGCGGCTTGTACGAGGGGTTCGTTTTTATTTAATTTGGGATTAGAGGCATAAAAACAAGTTTTACACGTTAAAATTTGCAGCAGCTAATTTAGCGGCAGCTAATCTGTTTGCTAACTGTTTCCAAAGTTAGCAAAAAAAGCTAATTTCCTAAATGAGAAGCTAGCATCCTGCAGGTTTTAGAGGTCTCGGCTCCAGCTGCAGAACGTGAAGAGGTGATTCAGTCTGAGTCAGGTGTGTTGGAGCAGAGAAAACCTGCAGGATAGAGACCCTCCAGAACCAGAACCGGACCCTCCTGGATCAGAGCTTCGGCTGGAAGAAACCAGCAATAATTCAGAAGAAAGCTGATAAAGTGTCTCAGCTCTGTTCATCACTCTGAGTAAAATCTGATTTGCTGAACTTGTTTTATGTTTTGGCACCAGGAGGATTTAATTGGACTCGTTGGGTCCGCTGAGCTCGAGGGGATTTGGACCCTCTTTGTTCTGGATCTGCTGCTCGCTTTAATCTTCTGCTGCTCAGAGAAACCGAACGGAGCGACGTAATCTGGAGGCAACAGCTGACTGTTTTTTTTAATCCAAACCTTCGACACTTCAGGCGGTGGCGGCGCTTCTGGAGCCGGTCCAACAGTTCTGTGTAAAAACCGGTTCTGGTTGCGTCACGTTGGACCGGGCCTCGTGTTTCTGAAGCTCTGGTTCAGATCCTGATGGAAACCTCTGATCCAAGCTGCTGCAGGATCCTCTGGACCGGATYGGTTCCTGCTGGGAGCTGCTGCTCRTCTGAGTCGGGCCCAGAYGCTACAGTTTGGACCCAGAACCAGAACCTGTACAGGTTTAGTTCCCAGGTTGAACTTCCTGGTTGAAGGTTTGTTATCAGGAAGTCATGTGTGCTGAACAAAGGCAGCTCTGTGTTCAGTTTGTCCTGCAGGTAATCCTGCAGGCTGTTCTGGATCAGAACCAAACCCGACTCCCGTTTGAAGAGCCTTCACACGGGGCTGAGTGTCGACAGCGCTGCGGGTTTGTGGCCAAACATTAAAAAAAAAAAAAAACGATTCGACATCGTGTAACAAACACCCGGATAATTATCTGAAGTATTTATTCAAGATTTTTATCGCTGAGTCGGGATTTTTGTTTTGTTTTTGTTTTAGTTCGGTTTTAATCCAGGAGTTCACGTTTCCTGTAAAAACACAGCAGGAGTGCTTAACGCTGATTTCAGCAGGAACAAGAAAATATTGCAAATTGTTGTAAAATGGGCAAAAAGGCTAAAAATAGCAGAAAAGTAGCTGAAAGTATCTGAAAATCCAAATCTAGAACAAAGAATTAGAGCGTGTTTGTTGAATAAAGCAGCTAAAATTTAAAAGGAGCACAGAAATAAATTTAGCTGAAAAAGGCTAAAATTAGCTGAGTAGCTTAAATTGCACAAAAAAACTGAAAGAAGCAAAAAACCTTAAATTATCAGATTAAAGCTGATAGAAGCACAATAAAATAAATAAGCAGCGTAGCTGAAAAAGCAGAAAAATATAAAATTAGCTAAAAAAGTCCCCTGTAATTTTCCTTTGGGATCAATAAAACATATTGAATTGATTTGAACTGAAATGCAGAAAAAAGCTATAATTATCAGAAAGCAGCTGGAAGAATTATAGAAAGTTTAAATTAGCAGAATAATAAAAATGTTGTAATGTTGGTTAAAAATGCTGAACTCATCAAAAAAAAAAAAAGTTAAAGAAATCAGAACCAGTGCAGAAAAGATTCAAAATGTCAGAAAAAGCTAAATATGTCATAAAGTTTAAATAGCTGAAACAGCAGAAGTCGTAGCTGAAATGTCCTGAAGGAGCCGAACGTTTTGAGACATGATTTGTTGAATAATTGTGTTACTGTGAGCTGAACAACAACTACATGACCAGCCTCAGTATACACACAGCTGCTGGTTCTTYCTGCTGCTTTTCACACAGAATTTTAGCTTTTTTTAATTATTTCTGAACGTTTAATGTTTTTACATCTTCAGCTGTGAAAAAAACAAATCAAACACAACAAAGTGTTAAATATTTTCAAAATAAAGGCTCGTTTTCACGTCTTCATCGGGCCCTTTAGCAGCACTAACGCTTGTTTTGATACAAACCGCGCCTCTGACACGTACACACATGTGCACACACACATGCACACACACATGCACACACACATGCACACACGTGCACACACCCAGCTGTGGTTCTGGACCTGCAGGCTGACAGTGGCGCTGACACACACTTCAGGTTTTTAATCACAAACCTTCATTTAGAGAAACTCTTCAGATCCAGTAGTCCTGGTCCTGGTCCTGGTCCTGGTCCTGGTCCTGGTCTGAGTGTCAGAGATATTTGACTGAAGGGAACAGCAGGATCCAACGTGAACACAGGTGTTTCAGTGTTGTCAGGATGTTTGGGTGTAAACATGAATCTGCTGCCTGAAGGAAACTAAAAACTCATTAAATGTTTACGAAGCGTCAGCGTGTCGCTGCTCAGAGAGAGTGACCTGTGAACCGTCAGATCAACCTGCTGCAGACAAACACTCATGTTTATCTGTGTGTGTGTGTGTGTGTGTGTGTGTGTGTGTGTGTGTGTGTGTGTGTGTGTG